CGTTCAATGAGGCCGATGAAGCACTCAGCGTATTTCCTCCAGGAAATACGATCGTCATTGAGTGCATTATCAAACAGCTCGCATATCATCACTTGGTATGGGTCCCTTCTCATTGCTCTATCCCGGGCAATGAGAAAGCGGACTCGCTGGCCAAGGGGGCGCTATGGAAGGCGATATTTACGAGCGACAAATCGCCTACCGCGAATTTTTCACGATTTCTCGTCAGCAAGTCCTCGCCAACTGGCAACAAAAGTGGAATGATGGTGATCTGGGAAGATGGCTACATTCTATTGTCCCACAAGTGTCGATCAAACCCTGGTTCAAAGGGTTGGATATATGAGTCGTGATTTTATTCGTGTAATGTCCAGGCTCATGTCCAATCACTGTTCGTTAAACGCCCACCACTTCCGTATTACGCTTGCCGACAGCAACTTGTGCACCTGTGGAAACGGTTATCACGACATCGAGCATGCTGTTTGGTCCTGCTCCTTGCATCATGAGGCGAGATCCGTTCTGTGTGATTCCCTTAGGGTCCGAGAAAAACAACCCTTTAAGCCAATTAGAGACGTCTTGGCTTGCCGTGATATCGACTTTATGAAGCTTATTTACGACTTTCTTAAAGCTGTTGATGTATGTGTTTAATGTTTTGTGTTTTAGTCATCCTTTACGGTTAAGTCTTAAATTAGTTCAAAATGCTTTCCCTTGTACTCCCTCCAAATGATAAATAAATGTAATCCCTAAGTTCGAGTAAACCGCGAGTAATCGGCCCCCGTTCTACTAACATTAGTTGTAAGAAAATGATATTCACACACAATCATGTAAAAAATATTCGGCTCCGTAAAGCTAACGCATTTGAGCCTTGACAAATAATGGATTATAAAAAAAAAACTATTTCTCAAATAAATTTCATCAGAAGAGGGATCAAGAGATTGCCATTCTTACTGTTCGGGTGGGATACCTAGGGGGCTACCAGGACTAACACCTCGGCGGGCTTGGCTAAGCAACGGCCTACCAATGAGGGTGGGTCATCCAACGACCTCTTTTGATGGCTAGCTCGATCTGGAGATCAATTCTTAGGAGTGATTTACCGGGCTAATCAGGACTCGGATATAGTGTGATTGAATGAAAAAGCTACTGAGTAAGGGCGTTTGGTTGCACCAGCAGGTATGCCAAGTCACAATGGCGGAAGCCGGAGAGGTGGCTTCTTCGGTGGGAGATTATGTCCCGGCACCTTACCCGAGGTACTGGCGGGGTCCTCTCAGGACCTGCGGGAACGATCGGGGTACGAATCCTGTTGGAAATCGTTCAGGGGACTTCGTGCTTCCAACCCCTGGTCGGTGAACTACGACTGGTATAACGGAACGGTCCGAGGTGGTCCTACCATCCGGGCCGTCGTACGGAACTGGCTCTCCAACGGTCAATCGCCCACGGAAGGCTTGTCGGCGTGATCTGGGCGAACGTACTTAGTACGAAAACTTAACGGGTCCTATCAAAGAAACAAAAGGTGCCACATTAGCCACGTTCAAACCACCTGGCATGGATTGCCGCAGATTTTACTTCACTCCTACCTGATTCGTTCTGCAAAGCTTCATAAAATCAACTACTTCCACTTCTAATCACTTAGTTTTCAACTAACTAATTTGCTTCTAACGGTTCTTATTAGTTTTAACTTTAACTTACACTTTTTAGAGAATACGAACTGATTCGCCTAAAGGTTCACAATCGAATAGGCCTCCTATTTCTCTTCACGATGTCTTGTCCCTATTCTTCAATCATGATAGGCTCTTTTGTTCGTGTTCAGTCCACTGAACTGATTTTACCGCTATTTATTATTCCAGCAGTTGGTAATGTACTGTGGTATTGTGTGGTGTACTAAACCTAGGGGTATTAAATCGGCAATAAATCATTTTGTTCGACCATTTTCCACAGAGATGGCGCTGTTCCGCTGGTAGGAAGTGTTAAAAATCCCCATATAGAAATTGAGAGAAGTGGAAATAATTCGCTCGGTGCATATTCAGGTGAATAAAATGAACGACAACCTAAAGAAATTAATCAGGGACTTTGTCGTTCAGTTTTTTTCCCGCAAATTATTGTTAAACAAGCTACAATTAAATAAAAATGATTTTTCCCCATACAGTTTAACCTGATTTACTACCAGCTCCCAGAGAGCCAAAAAAAAAATCAAATTTGAGAGAGAAAATTTGCTCTCACGAGTTCAATCTCTCAACATGCCATGTATTTTGTTGACACTCGATTTGTGATTTCCCTTTCACAGATAACAAAATAGAGTACCTGACACTACAAAACATGTCTGGTACCTCTATATATGCATTTGCTTTAACATTTGAAGTCCCTTCTTTTTTACATATTCTGCGCAAAAGATACTTTATGCCCCGCCCCATACATAAAATTCGGCAGGAAATTCTGTGAGGGGTGAGCTATTTTGTGTGCAGAATGTGTAAAAAAGGAGGGACTTCGAATAATAATCTAAATGCATATATAGAGGTACCAGACATGTTTTGCACTGCAGTGTCCTCTGTGAACAATTATAGGAAAATAGATGGTGTGTAGTTTCCGATAGATGTCACCGCAAACAACAGCAGTGACATCTGATGGAACATGAATGCAGAAGCTTGACAAAATGATTAATTACTATTCAAATTCAAATGGACATGCAGAATACGATAAACATACAGAAATACATCAACAAATGTTACAAACGGTAACACCATTTGCGTTTAGGCACCATGGGCAGAAGAAAGTTTTTTCCAAATCGACTTCCAAGTAGATTACTATAAGAATCTGAAGGATTGAATAGGAATTTTACATATCGATATCGAAGCAGAATTACCTCGGGTAGGGTTCAAACAAGGATCGAAGAGGAATAAGAGTCAAAGGTAGAACATTTGTAGGTAAAATTTAGCACTTAAAGTGCTGTTTAAATTTGAGGTAGCTTTAGGTAGTAGTGACACGCAAATAAATCCGCACGACAAGAGAGCACTGGGGTATGTTTTGTTTATTTTCCTAGCATTTGACAGTTCGTTGTGGGTCTAATGTGTCTTGAAATATTCAAAATAAGGAATAGAAAAAGGGCCTGTATTTATTTAGTTTGAACTAAAACAGATTTCTAGAAAATGTGATGGGGTGCTGGGCTTGCTTACAGTAACAGGCTTACCCGCACTTCCCCTAGACCTAAAATATGAAGTGTCACAAGGTTCTATATTAGGACCGCTATTGTTCATTGTTTACATAAATGATATTTTTGATTTACCATTACGTGAAAAAAAAATCAGATTGACCGCATTTTTGATTTACCATTACGTGGAGCACTAAAATTATACGCGGATGATGTAGTTCTTGTATATAGTACTGGTAATATTGTTCAACTGTTTGTGGTCATGCAACATGATTAAATCTAATCAATCAATTTTTTTTTTCATAACGGGATAACCTAAATGCCTCTAAAATTAAATACAGGGATCGCTTCAGCAACATAAACTGTGAGTTGAATTTAGGAAATGATCAAATAGAAAGAGTTAATTTGATCACTTCTTTAGGCCTAACAATTCACGAGAACCTCAAATGGAATATTCACACGAAAGAAACTAGCTTTCTTTGAATGCTTATAAGATGTAGATTCATGTTACCACTTAAAAAAAGTATTAAAGTATTTCAGTGTATTGTAAATAAGTTTCAGAAAATAACTGTACTGAATTTATGCTAGGGGTTTTTATGTCTGTAAGAGATATGTAATTTTTATACAATAAATATTTCCTCCACGGATTTTACCCTTCCCTTTACCCTACAGAAATAAATAAATAAAAACAGATTAAGCTGATAGTGGTTCACAAAGAGAAAACTGTTCATAAAAGGTAAATTTACCCTACTTAATTCTTAAGGAAAAACGGTTTCCCTATCAGTCCATCTGTGTTCTGTGTGTTCCGATAACGTTTCTATTAGGAATCACCCCCGAGCGCAAAATTTCGTCCCACATCCTGTGACGAAAAAGAGCCAAAACATAATTCGCTCAACCATATGATCCAAACAGCCATCGATGATGATGATGATGATGACGGTAGTGGTAGCAGAATCAGCAGCAGGAGCAGATCATTTCGGTCATGCCTCTGGCTGTGGCCTATTCATTGACACTGAACTTTGGGGGCAGTATCATCAGTTCACGAACACATGCTCATCATCAGAGCTTACAAAATCCCTTCACATCGGTATCGGAATCAACTGCACACAAACCTATACCTAATCCTTTGATTCCGGAAGCACGATTCTGCTCTCTCATTGTTCAATCACACCCACACACCCAGTTCCATTCTCGGAAACAAAGCGACGAAGAGAGTGAGAGAACAAACCACGTTGCACAGGCTTTCCATTCATGAACTCTTGCATTTGGATGCATTTTAGTCTCTTCCACGGAATAGGCTCCGCCTCTCTCTATCTCTCTCGCATTATACCGGGAAAGAAAATGGGGAAACTGATATCGCTACCGGTGAGAGGCGTGGCCTAAATCAAATCTGTTGCGCTTTGCTGCTGTGAGTGCTACTGCTCTTGAACGGGGTTTCCTTATCAGTGCTAGGGTTAGAGATTTGTCAGTGCTTTCTCCCCGGTGAAGTAGGTATTATGTGCGACGGGAGAGCGAGCGAACCTTTTGGGGGAGATTTGATCCGGTTTGCCGTTCCGAAACACGCAGACATAAATCGGTCGTCTTTGGTGCTGTAGGGCGCTGAGGCTGCTTCTGTCGCGGTCGTCCTCTATGGAACGTTGTTGTTCTGGACGTGGGTTTGCTATGGCGAAGAGGCTTTTATGCAGTACTAGAACGTAATTGTGTGAGTGTGAGCAGCAGCGGTCGCAGGATGTTATGCTATAGGGATGCGCCTATGTTCTCCATCATGCTGGGTTGTGTAGTAGGGTGCGAGCGAGAAGATCAAATCCGGCAGAAGAGAAGCGAGGAAAAACAACATTACTCATTCGAGCCCATCGACGCAATGATTGAATTTATCAAGTGCCATATGGGTAGAGTCGCGCGGTTGGTTGAATGAATTGGAAATGGAAGCAAGCAAACAGTATCACTGCTAACTCCGCTAGAGGCGTACACATTCAAGATAGCAGGAGAGCTTTGTTCAGGGTTTGATTCTGTCGCGACGTTCCAGGCAGTCAAGAAGTGGTGCTTTGAGGCGGCGGTTCGCGATTTTTTTCCAGTCCTATGTGTGTTTGCTCGCTCGGATCGCAGTTTGCGTCGATGGGGACGGAGATTTGTGCAACCGGGAGTAACTTTGTGATTTAATGTGATTTCAGCATTTAACGGGGTCACAGGTGTGTGTGCGCTCGCGTAATTAACGTCGCGGTTCGTTGGGTTATCGTTGGGAAATGAATTAAATCGAAGGGAAATTTTACGAGTTTTTGTTTAGAAACCAAAGATTGGTTGAACCTTGAAAAGGACTTTAGGGATAATCGGGATGATGGAAGTGAGCGAAGTTCCTCAGCAGCAACAGCTACAACAGCAGCAGCAGCAGCATAATCAGTCGCAGCTGCCGTTGGATTTTAGTGTAACAATGGTGAACATCAAGTTGAACAATCTGAATGTGAATTTGAACACAAACAACAATAGCATCAGTATACTGAATAATAATAATAATAATAATAATAGTAATAGTACTAATGGCGCCAGTGGTCAGCACCCAGGCATCGGTGGATCACTGAATGGTGCTAGTGGAATAAATAGTCATCAGGATGCGATGAGTTCCTTGCTGGCGGTGCACCAGCATCATCAAAGTGGTGGTGGGAATGGTAGTGGTAGCAATGGAGGCAGCAGCACAGCTGCTCTTACAAGTGCATTCAAGGTGGTGATGCCACGGGGGAAAGCCGACGGTAAGTTGTTGTTTTTTGTGAGTTTTTTGGATTTTAGTAAATGGGAGCGTAAATTGTGGTCTTTTATTAACCGTGAATTTTTTAACAGAAGAGATTCTGTAATGTGATCGTCGAAAGGTTTTTAAAATAATTTTGAAATTTTTATCTTAGCTAAATTTACGAGCAAAATTTGGATTTATACCTTCTGGAAAAGCATACAGTCTAATGTAAGAACTGATATTACATTTGATGTAAGAAAAGCATGAGTATGTAAAAAATCTACCCTGACATTCGATGTTCATACCATCTGTTTTTCATGTGGACATTACAGCCAGTAGTGCTTACCTTCATAATGTATAAAACCTAATACCACAAGGAACCGACCTTCGGATACTTTGTCCACGAATCCGATTATTTTTTATAATTGATAGCACTGCCTATTCGGCTCTAAACAGCACGTAAATTTTATCATGGTCTATTAGCTGTTATGATCAATTGAGAGCTGTACAGAAAAAAAAACTGAATATTTTTGGTGATGTAAAGATCTCTGCATGTAAATTTATATTTATTATCACTCAAACTAACATCTTCCAAGAAATAATGCTTACAAAGATGGAAGGTTGCATACAATATTTGTAATATTTCATAAAATCTCTGATAAATTTACATGATCTATAATGTAATCTTGTATGACATATGACGCTCCATTGTATTATATTGAATAGAAATTTACACTTCTTTTTTCGAACAGTGTGGTTCACTGATTTTTCATTTATCCACCTCGAATTCTAGGGAGTGCTCATAATTGTGCGTAATGTACACACTTTGAAGTACCTAATCTTACACGATGAGACGTAAACAAATATGTCATGTAAAATTAATTGCTCCGTGACTGAAAAGTTTGAAAGTTCGTTTGATTGAGCTGAATTTCGCATCTACAGGAAGTTAATTGAACTGCCGTGAGGTTCACCTTCCCTGGTGTTCTCTAAATTACAATAAAGTATTGGTATTGTCCTTAAGCAAAAGGAGCTGTCCAAAAAAACTTGAAACATCCCTGAAAATAATCGAACTTCTGTAAAGTTCCTAAAATATAATTATAGTTTTTTAAACATCTATGGAGTTTTTTGTTCTTGCCTTAAACTCTCAAAACTTCATAAAGTTTCTCAGAATTTTCCTGAAATGCATGAACTTTTTAAATTAATCAAACTTTCCCTAAAAGTATAGACATTCCAGAAGCTTTTGGAATTGGCCCTAAGATCTCTGAGCTTCTCTCAAGGTCTCTAGACCTAGCAGCCGACAGCCTGGCAGCGTCTGGACCAGCTGGCCTCCGTTACACCGACGAAGTGCCACTACAGGACATAAAGCGATGAATAGTCAGCAAAATGTGGGAAGCCTGGGAAGCAGAGTGGTGCCAATCCCAATCCCTCTTCATCCGAAGAATCAAAGGAACGACGAGCAAGTGGACGGATATGTCGAAACTACGGGACCAGAAGATGGTTTCTCATCTTAGGACAGGCCATACAAGGATCTCACATAGTTTTGGTGGGACGCAGTTCTACAGAATGTGCTACGTTTGCGGAACCACTGCATCGGTGGAACCCATCCTATGCCTGTGCCCGCAATACCAACAACTACGGGAGCAGTACGCACTTCCCAACAGCATTAGGGACATACTGGGCGACGAACCTTCCACTTTAGCGACAGTTATTTATTTCCTCAAGGACGCTGGGTTATATAACAACATTTAGGTCCTTTTAACTTTCTTTTGGCTGACGGTACATCTCTACCGGACGGGGGATTACCCCTCCTACGGGGGAACTCCGATCTTTTTCGAAACCCTACCTAACTTTGATGTACCAGATTGTTTTTTTTTCTCGTTGCCTGTATTGTTAGTCTTTTTACTGAAATCTGTTTTAATTGCTTCTATTTGCGTACATGTGAATTGTAAGCCAACTCCGTAACTAAATTTGCTGCCAGAACCCCCCTCTGGGGCCTCCCATTTTATAGAGATGTACTAGCCAACGGCTAAAAATCTCTCTAATAAAGTTAAAAAAAAAACCTAGCATCCCTGAGGTTCTTGGAATGTCTTTAAAGTTCCCATAAGGGACCATGCAGTTATTACGTAAGATTTGTCTAGGGATTTTTCTATCCCAGCTTTCCCTTAGTTAGATCTAACATCTAACATTAGCATGTACTGCATTCTTCATGATTACGAAAGTTATTTATGGGATTCCCTGCCTCTCTTTGAAAAAAAAAACGTAAGAAAATTTATTAAAAAAAATCCTATATAATAAGTGCATGGTCCCTAAGGACTGTTTTGAAAATAACTTGTAAACAAAATTTTCCTTCGAAATCCGTAAAGAAAGATTTTTTTATAAATGTGTTTCGATTATGTGTATTGTGTCCTTCATTAAAATTGGTTTTTTTTTTTCATTTTTGATTCAGTATCAGGTTTCGGACAGTGCATTTTCGTGTTTTTTGATGCGTTATAGTATATTTTTGATTATATCAAGGTTTTTGAACTCTTAATATCCTTTTGAGGATAGTCTTAACAGTTTCCATTTAGCATCAGCATTTTGTTTAAATCTTTATCAGGAGATTTTTAGCCACAGGCTAGTTTATCTCCGGAACATCAGCAATCGACATTCAATAGGTTGTAGTTGCGAACACATTTTTTTTTCGCAATAAGCGAAAATCTAACTTTATAATTTTATCCATTGCTGCAAAGCAAGAATTACATACAGAATTTATGTCGAATAAGGCCAAAACAATTTATAAAAGGTTGCGTTTTCTTCACAACCTTTTCCATTGATGCTAAAGGGACTAAGATCATGAAAGAACTTAAAGAAATATTATACGATCTGTACAAAAAGTGTGAAATATCTGTTTTGTCATTACAAGACCAAAATCTAAGATCATAAAAGTACATAAAGGAATAGTTTTTTTTTGTTTTGTTAATTTAACTTCTTAAAAAAGACATGACATAAATAACACTAGTTTACAAATAAAAGTAAAACAAAAATTACTTTAACGTTTGACTTATGATTCTGAATCATAAGTGACGATGAATCCAAAAATGTAGTCAGAAATAATTTCAGCAGGATAGATCTCAAGCAACATTGCAAGTTTTATCGAGGTTTTAAAGCATTCTTCAAGTCTAAAACATGGTCTACAGAACCTTCATAAAACCAGAAATGTAACTTGGGTTTTCTGGATACAGATAAACAATTAAACTTCATTTAAAAAGTTTGTTAACTAACACAAATATCACCGGCTGTAATGAAGCTATATTAATTATTTGAACGATAAATTAAAGATTTGAAAAATTTATTGCAATCAGTTGAACAGCATTTGTCAGTGAGATTAGTGGTCGTGTTATCAAGTAAAGCTTTGTTTATTTTTTAATGTTTTGCACAAATCCAAAAAAGAAAAATTGGATTTCAGCAAAATTTTAACACATCCTAACATCCTAAAATTCTTAGTATTTCCTAAGGAGCTTTTTTAACTGTTATGCACGTGACCTGGGTGCCTAATTCTCATTACAATGACTAAATAGTATATAACCAAACGTTACACCTAAGGATTGACCAGGGAAACGTTCTCGTTATTCTTATGATGATGATCCTTGACATTATTTACCTCTTAATGATTTTTTCCAAGCTTCTGCAAAGTTTCTGAAAGATGTCTTAAGTTCTCTTAACTTTTCTGATGTTTTCTGGACTATCTTTAATTTATCTAGAAGGTTCTCGCTATTTTCTTGAATTGAATGGAGCTGCCTTGAAATTCTAGAAATTTACCTGAAGTTCTCGGAACTTCCTTAAATTTTCCTGATATGCATGGGGCTGCTTTGTAGTTCTCATAACAGCCCCGAAGTTCACGTTAAGTTAAATCTTCGAAGTCAACTGAAGTTTTCACAGTTTCTGTAAAGTTCCTGCAATTCTTAAGAATTTAATGTAACCAGTGCTGACAATTGTCATTGTCATTAACAGACTTTCGCGCGATATTGACAATATTTTTTTTTTACATAGTCACTGACCAACATGATCCTCAAAAAACCTTCGTCAAAATTTTATTTTTTTCGTCAATGACAAAGATTCACCTGGTAAGAAAAAGAGTAATTTCGTGCAATCTGTGTCACATTATTGTCATATAAGCAGTTCAGGACGTAGATGCTTGTTCACTTTAACGGCTCCGAGTAATTGTGTTGCTCAAGTAATTCCGTTACAAATTTAGTTAATAAAAAAATCCACACATATTCAACACTGACAGCATTGTCATTGACAATTTACATGGTTTGCCTTAACGATGACTGTTACATCAAATGAGTGACCAAAGTAGAATTGTCAATATCACCATGTATTGTCGATATTTTGTAGCACTGCATGGAACTGCTAAGAAACTCTTTGATTTTCACGGTGATGGATCATTAGGCTAAATATAACAATATAACGATTGTCATTAGGTTGAATGCCATTAGACTGAATGTCATTAGGCCGAATGCCACTAGGCCGAATTAGTCACTAGGCTGAATGGGTCATTAGGCTGAAATTTAAATTGTTCCCATTCCATCATTTGACATCTGTACTGGTTCGGTTTATGAAAAAGCATATGATAACATGGAAAAAAATTCGAGACTTTCCCTTTAGAAACATTACATCAAGGATGTAAACGACTTACTTGAATGAACATACACATTAAAATATATGAATTTCACAATCAATAATTTAAGCATTATATAATTTGGTTTGAATCCTAATCTTCACATATCTTAAATAAACAATACGGATACAATACAAAATGTTAAAGGTGTCTGTTTTATAAAGTGAACAGTTCTTATTGCTTCAATATACCTCGAAAAAGCCGCTCTTGAAACGTGAAAAGGACACAATTCATTGAGCTTTTTTGAAGTAAGATCTGTGACAAACTGCAACGAAGCTCCCTAAACTGAATCGAGGATCCCTGAAGTTCTTATAAGTTTATTGAACTATTTTTAGATCTTCTACAAAATTCCCAGAACTTAT